GAAACAGGTGAATTTAGAAGATGTACAATCTTTTGGCAATGTGTTGTAAGTTTCATTTTTTTACTTGTAATTTTTATACATAATTTACATAATTCATAGATTTTTAGTTCCAATCTGAACATACTCTTTTAGAGTTTGTATTCTGTTTATGTACTGATTTACTTTTGCTGTTAACACATTTACTTTTTCTATCAACAAGTATGTACTTTGATTTTTGTGTGTGTGTGTATGTGGTGTGGTAATAGTGCTAGAAATTAAACCCAGGGCCTTGGCACTGAGCTATATCTCAGCCCATTTTTATTTTTTATTTTGAGACAGGCTGTCACTAAGTTGCTGAGTTGCCCAAATGGAGCTCAAACTTGTGATCCTCCTGCCTCAGCCTCACAGAATGCTGGGATTACAGGTGTGCCACCACTCGTGACTCTTAAAAATGTTTATTATATACTTTCCAATAATTTGGGCCTGTGAAAATTCTTGCTTGTTACTCTATTTAGGTATTTCCAAAATAAGCATAGCTTTATATCAGCCCCCAGCTCTCTGACTTAGTATTTTTTCTGTTCCACTGGTAGTTTTCTGCTTTTTAAGAAAGCCTTCCCTTTCCAGTTGTAGGTAAGTTAGGAGGTGAGCTTCAGGAAGTTGCCTTCTGCAGTCACTTGCCCTATTAGGCAGTTGGCTTTTTCCAAGTAATACTGTGTGTCCTTCTCTGAACGTTGGTCCCTGATAGGTATCACAGGGGAGCCTGGCCTGCCTGTGAAGAAGCGGACCGCTCCGTCTACGGCACAGCTCTCAGCGTAGAAGGTTCCATTCTGCGGTTCAGTGTGACTTTCCTGAACGGAACATATCCCTTTCCCCCCAGCTCTGTTCCTTGCATGTTCTTTCCACATCAGCTGGCAGCAGTCCGTTGTTCTGAATGTCCCCACAAATTGTTAGCTGTTTTGCTTTCTGGCCTACCAACTTGTTCCTTGAATAATGAATTTGTGTTTTGGATCCATAATTATGTTGCTTAGTGAAGCAAATGTAATCCCTGCCAAGGAATGCCTAAAATTTAAGGCCCAATTCCAGAAAAAGTGAAATAATAATAGGAGTACTTGCAATTATGTAGATAGTAGTTTCCCCTTTATTTGTGGGTGAGACATTTCAAGACTTTCAGTAGATAACTGAGTAGATAGTACCAAATTCTAAAAATACTATTTTTTTGTATACACACCTATGATAAAGCTTAACATATAGACAAATAAGAGACTGACAATAACTAATAATAGAGTAGTTATAGCAACATACTATAAAATTTATGCAAGTGTTGTCTCTCAAAATCTTATCATACAGATCTGAGCAACTTCAGCATAGAATTCCTTATTAAGATGAGAATTTTCATGTATAAGAAGCACTTTGCAGCTTCCCTTTGGCATATTCAAGTTACCAGGAGCAGTACTCTTGTGCTTCCGGGGCATTAGGAAGGCCGGAAATAAGGATTACTTGGACACAATCACTGTGATACCGTGGTGGTTGGTCTGGTAACCAAGCTGACTACTGGGTGACTAATAGGATAGCGTATGCGGTGTGGGTACTCTGGACAAAGCAGTGTTGCCCGTCCCAGGCCTGATGGAGCAGGATGGTGCAAGATTTCCTGCTATTCAGAGCAGTGTATAATTTAAGCTTTTAAATTGTTTATTTTTGTATTTTCTATTTAACAGTTTCAGACTATAGTTAGCTGCAGGTCACTGAAGCTGCAGAAAGTGAAACCGGGTAGAGTGAATAAATACTGCTGTGCTGTGTGTTTACCACATGCCAGGCATTATATTCGGCAGGTTGCGTGCAGTAACTCAGTTAATTGCCAGCAACTCTTTAAACAAGGTTCCATTGTTGTCTGTATATTATAGATAAGGAACCACAGAAACATAATTAGTTCAATGTTACACATTAAAGAATAGTTCCAAAATTTTGAATCCAGGTAGCTTGGCTTCACGATCCTTGCTTTTGATACTGTCATCTGCCAGGCAAAGTATTTAGTATTTCTTATAATCCTAACTTTCCTGGCCCTAAAGAGTAGATGTTCCGGGCATGATGGCATATGCCTATAATCCCAGCACTCGGGAGGCCGAGGCAGGAGGGTTGTTGTGAGTTTGAGACTAGCCTGGGCTACAACGTGAGCTCAAGGCCAGCCTGAACTGCATAGCGAGATCCTGTCTCAAAAAGACCTGCCTCTCCGAAAAGATGAGAATCTGGTGTTATAATATATTAAAACTTTTCTATTTTCCATCTTCTAGGATAATTTTGTATATAACATTATTTTTCCTAAGAGGAGAAAGTAGATTTCAATATGTAGGACTATACTTCCTTCATGTGAAGTCAGATGTGTTTGTTACAAAATACAAAATGATATCTATACTAAATCTTTCTCTTTACTGTTATAATTTTTATTAGGTACATGGTACAGTATATGTTATAAGATCCTAGTAGCCAATTTTGTTCTCAGATGATGAGGTTTTCTTTTCTGTTTACCTTTATAAGATCCGGTGCCTCAGAAAGTTAATAAATTTCAGAGTGAGTCCTCTGTGACTCGTGCAGACCTCACTGTATGACTTCCCCAAGTACAGTGTAGTCTAGCACTCCCTTGAGGATGAAAACATGAAAAATCTGGTCATTTACCAGGAAGCACCCTCCGCCCGCTGTCCATTACTCTTTGCGCGCTATCAATTAGTAGGATGTGAAGGTGGTGGGACGCTTCAAGTGCAGACCTCACTGTTGAAGTCCCCTCCTGAGATCTGGGCTTCAGCCCTTGCACATGGTGCACATACGGAAAATCATATTTCTTTTTTGGGGGGTAGAGTACCGCGAATCGAACTCAGGATCTCATGCTTGCCAGGCAGGTGCTTCCCCTGAGCTAAATCCCCGGCTCCTCATATTTCTTTTGGAGTGAACAAAAGAGGCTCCTTGAGACACAAGAAAATCCATTGTCACTTAAAAGCCATTTCAGCAGGAAGTTCTGCTTATGGGTATTAGTTGGTGAGTGCCTAAGCTAGTTTGGTATATGAAAGCACTCTGCATTCCATAAGTTGACATTCATATTTAAAAATTACAGGGGTACCTCAGTTCACAAACTTAATTTGTTCCCTGATCTTTTAAAAGACAGCCACTTTTGTGTTTGTGTAGGAAAGATAGCCACGGTTGTATCACCCGATGTAGAGTTTGTAAACAAAAACAAATTGTTCACAAACAAAAGTGTTTGTGAACTGAGCTGCCACTGTATTAAGACCCAGATATTTGTTCTACAAAGGGAAGTTGTTTATATTTGTTTTGAGAGCAGTTCTGAGAGATGCAAGAGCACAGTTCAGGTTCTGTAAGGGATCTGGCACAGTAATGAGAAGTAGAAGTGCTAGTGGTCAAGTGTTATAAGGTGCAAGACCTCTTACGTGAGATCAAACAGCTGGCATTGTTGAATCTGCTGTTTCTCCCCATTAAACTCTCTCCTTTTTGCCTTTTGCAGTTCTTTCTGTTGTCCGATTCTGTCTTCCTAGTGAGTGCGTCCCCTGCGTTTATCTTTTCTCCCCAGCTCTATTGACTGTACTTGCAGTGGTGTATTATCTATTTCATACACCCCTTTCCCCTACTAGGTTGCTTGAATTTAAGGCTCTATCAGATTGGCTTGTCGGAACTTGAACTATACACAGTTCATCATATTCTGTCAATAGGCAAGGCTTAAACACTTTTGGCATCGAACTGGAATTTTTCTCCTTGTGCCTTTCTCTTGTTAGTCTTTACTCTGGCACTTCTGAAATAATTCCAGATAAAGTTACCTTAATGCCAGGCGTTCATATATTTGGACAGTCTACCTTTTATAAGTTCTGTACTGTCTTTATTTCTCAGAGCTAAACATTTTTGCTGCTGAAATTGTGCTTCCCTCATTTTTTTTTTTGTTTTCCTTTCTTTTCCCAGTATATAGAATCTTAGAATTTCAAGGATTGCAAGGTACTAAAGTTTACCTAGTCCCTGCTTTTCATCTAACTAATACTGATTATGTACTGATTAAGTAATTGAAACTGAAACATAGAAATATTTTGGAGATAAGACAGCTATTGTAGTTATTTCACTGAAAAGGATGAGAAAGTTTAGATTTAGTAGATTAAAATAAAGTCCTTCCTCTTTCATTCTGTTTTAAAATGTAAGTGCCACTGGGTATCTTCAAAGAATACCAGAAGAATTCTTCTGGGCCAGAAGAAAAGATATGTTTCGTGCTGAAGTAGTATATGTCCTGTGCAGAAGGATTTTCATATTTTTATAACATGGTTAAGAATTTTGCTGTCAGGACCAACCTACCTGGATCTGGCCCATACCAGTTGTGAATTACTTTATCTTGGGTTCTCACTCCTGGTGTGCCTCAGTTTCTGTATTAGTAAAATAAGGTTCATAATGATACGGGTTTAAATGAATTAGTATTGCAAAGCACTAAAAATTAATGGTGAGCATCGAGTAAACTCTGAGTATGTTGCCACTGTCTCCCCGACACCACCATCACTGCAGCCCCTGAGTCTTACTAGCACTTGGTGAGGTGTGGGAAGCCCCTGGCAAAGTCCTGGTAGAATCTTACTAAAATATGGTGTATCTGTCCTCTATGCTTCATGCCTGAAGAAAAGGCCTTGCATTTCACTTTCTCATCTGAAGCATTACTCGACCAGGACTGTAAGCACATCTGTGGAGTCATGAAGTGTTTTGTCATGGAGTTTTACTTTATAAGCAGTTTTTTTAAACGGCAGAAGACCCACTAGCTTCTGAAGTCTGTTCCTTTAGGACACACTTCTAGGGAATTCATTTTCTGTTTTATTTAAAAGAGTCAATTTATTTTCCTCATTGATAGGCGAAAACCAAAATATTGGCAGTTTTTATTTTATGTAATGTAATAGTTTTTTTTGGTATGATAATATTTTTAAACGGATTTACTTTTCCTAAGTAAGCTGCTTTTTACCAGTGCATCAGAGTAAAATGTCTTCCTTTATTGTCAGGTTGCTATCAAGATCATAGATAAGTCCCAGCTGGATGAAGAGAATTTGAAGAAGATTTTCCGGGAAGTGCAGATCATGAAGATGCTGTGCCACCCTCACATCATCCGGCTCTACCAGGTAGGACGGCCGTGGTGAGTTGCGGAGGGCTGGAACATTGGAGACTCTGTGTTTCCAGTTTATCTGTTTGTTTCCTCACTCGGTTCTTAATAGTTTCCTGTTTCCCCTCTCTGTTCACTAGTGACATCTGCTTTACCCAGGTAGGTCGTTTTAATGTGTTCTTCAAAACTTGATGACTTTTTCAGCAAGAATTACTCAAACGGATTATTGAGAAGATGACAGGAACTTGCTTTATGTAGGGCAGAGTCCTAAATCAGGATGGGAAGCCCTTTTTAAAAAGGAACAGAATTTTGAGAGATAAAAAGCTAAAGATGAATAAAATTTTACTTTTGTAAAAGATTATTTAAACATTAATTCCTATGATCATGTTAGGGGTTGGGATGACAAAGGATATTGTAAATGTGATTTCTTGCATCAGTTTATTCTCGTATGGTCCTGGGCTTAGTTTTCCAACATAGCATTTAATTACTTTGATAATCCAGAGACAGATTCTGTGTCCTGGGACAGATTCCTGTTTGTTTTTTCACCTTTCTAAGAAAGAATGCAGTCATCAAGATGATTCCCTGGCCTTACTGCAAAAGCAGTAAATCTGATGGCTAGAGTTTCAACCAGATAGGAGGGGAGGACCTTGCTGCTCAGGCTGGTAGAAGAGATGTTTTGGGAGAGGCGGGGCTTGGGGCTGCTTCTCAAACTGCAGCGTGTTGGCAGCAGCAAGCCCTGCCCGCGCACAGGGTCGGTTCTGCTTCCTGCTTTCCGTCAGAGCAGTCCTCTCCTAAATTCTGAAGGAAGTGGCCACCCACTCGCTTTGTTCACTGCTGTTAATCTGCAGTAAATGGCTTCCGACCCAGCGGTGGGGCTGTGCATAAGACTGGAGAAAGGCACATTTATGGCTCACTGGGCAGGCTGTTGTGGCCTCTCAATTTTATCGGGGTGGGGAACACACTGTGTAGTTAGTGTGTGTGGTTAAGGCTGTAGCTTTAGAAGACTTCGCTGGCATCAGTTGCTCACATGATGAAATGAATTAGGCCAGCAGGAACAGACCTGTTGAAATTTATCAGACTAAATTATGTTGAGCAACACTTACACTTTGCCTAAGAAGCAAGCTTGTGAAAGCTTCTGGTGTTGCCTGAAGACCTATCCTGTGAGCTCACAGGTGTCTTGACCTCAGCTCCCTTCCTGTCCCGGTAGACTGCATAAACTTCTTGACCTCATCTTTTAAAATAAGTCATCGTAAAGTAACCAAGGGGCTTAGGCTAACCTTTCTCAAAAGGTGAACTTTCAGATGTTAACCTTATAACTGAATTCCGCAAGTTTACCTGTCTTATCCAAGGTTCTCGAAATAATGTATAGTAGATACTCTAGAGGAAGCAGTAGTTTTTTTGTTTTTTTGTTTTGTTTTTTTTTTGTTTTTCTCCGGTACTGGGAGCCGAACTCACGACCTTGCGCTTGCCAGGCAGGCGCTTTTGCCGCTGAGCTAAATCCCCAGCCCCAGGAAGCAGTAGTTTTTGAACATCTGAAAAGTTTAATGAAAACACATTTGCAGTTAATTAAGGGAATGGGAATAAAAGAGAAAAATGTACAACCTGGCACCATTTAAAAATTTTTTCCTAAACACCTGCATATATTTGGAGCACTTTTTGTCACATAATTCAACATAGGGAGAGAGCCTTTGGGAGCGGTATGTGTAACAATAGGGTGGTACTTCTAGTATATAGTTTCTAAAAAGAAAAATGATCAAAAATGTTAGATTTGAAAGTTAATATGTTCTCATATAATATGAAATCGTTGAAGAGATCGATCACCGTTTTATAACATTGTACATGTAAGGCTTTACTGCATAGACACAAAAGTAATTGGGAAGTAATTCATTATTGTAAAATATAACAGAAGTCTAGAACTATGTTGTCCAGTATGAGAGCCACTCGCTACATGAGACTAGTGAGTACTGAAATGTGGCTAGAGTGACTTAGGAGCTGAATTTTAAATTCTATTTAAATATAAAAAGAAGCAGTTAACAATTTTTTAAGATTATTGAAATGATAATATTTTGGACATATTGTGGTAAGTAAAATTTATAGTAATTAATCTTAATAAGTAATATTATTAGAATCGTTTTCTCCCTTTTTACTTTTTAAATGTGGTTACTAAAAAAGTTAAAATTTCATGTGCAGATTACATTATATTTTCATTGTACAATACTGCTGTCAGAGAATATGTAATAAATTACAGTGTTCCTCTGGAGGAGTGAGGCGAAGGGGACTGGGAAAAGGAGAACCTGTGGCCTTCTGTTTATATAGTATGTATTTACACTGCTTATAATAAATGTAATACATATTCGTGTATTTTTAAAAAACGCTAAAAATGATAAAAAGGAAGAAAATTTATAACACTACTATGAATTGTTTAAAAATACAAATGAATAATTACTTGAAGGGCTGATAAATTATTGCTTCCCTGCTTTTTTTTTTTTCTTCTTTTTTTGGGGTCTTTTTCATACAGGGTCTCACTGTGTAGTTCAGGCTGGTCTCAAACTTGGGAGTGATCCTCCTGCCTCAGCCTACCAAGTGTGCGGATTACAAACTTGTGCCTCCATGCCCAGCTTCCCCACCATTTTTTTTTTTTTCCAGTCTTTTTGAGACAGGGTCTCACTATGCAGTTCAGGCTGGCCTTGAGCTCACTTTGTAGCCCAGGCTGGTCTTGAACTCAGAATGATCCTCCTGCCTCAGCCTCCCAAGTGCTGGGATTATAGGCATGCACCACCACACCCACCTTTTTTGAAGCAGGGTCTCACTGTGTAGTTCAGGCTAGCCTTGAACTCACGGATATCCTCTTCCCTCAGCTTCCCAAGTGCTAGGATTATGCCTGTGCACCATCACTCCTGGCACTTTTTTTTTTTTTTTAAATAAATGGGCAGTGGGAAAGAAAGCTGTCATTTCTGTTTTAAAAAATAAGACGAAAGTGGTTTCTGTGCAGTGCTTAGGTGATTCCTGTTATTTTCCCTGAAGCTTTTTTTGTTTGTTTTGGTTAGTGCTAGGCAGAGGTACCTTTTTTGACTTTCCTATGATTGGTGTTGAACTTCTTTAAAGCTCTCAGCAGCTTCTTTTGTTCTCATTTGTGCAGAGTGTACCAGGTTGCAGAGACTCCGTGGAACAGTGAGAGGCCCATGTCTCTCAAGTAGCGTTTCCTACTTTCAAAACTTGAGGAATACCGATTTTCCCCCTTTCTTCTTAATAGCATTCATATCTGTTCCCTCAAAAATGTTTTAAATTTAAGTAGCAAGTAGTGATTTTTAATATTTCACATGACAAAAGAGGAGTCATTGGTTTTTCTTCCTGTGGTATCAGCCTGTCATTTTGTGTCATTGTCACTTTCCTGCCTTTGTACCAGGTTATGGAGACAGAGCGGATGATTTATCTGGTGACAGAATATGCGAGTGGAGGGGAGATATTTGGTAAGTAAATTTATTGCATTCTTTAAACAACTATTGAGCACACTATAGCAGCCCTAAAATAGCTGTCCAATGCTTTTGTCATTTGAGCAGCTGTCACTTGATGCAGTTCTTCAGGACTGTTATCCTCCTTTTTTTATGTTCTGCAAATTTTTTTAATGAAAAAATTAAAAAAAAATTTCATGGACAAATAATAAGAGTATAACAGTAGTAATTACTGGAGAACAGAATGTGAAGTGAAGTAAGACACAAATACCACGTGGTTTCTCTTATATGGGACTCTATACATACACAAATATTTACTATATATATTATTTATACACACGAATAAATAGCAAAATAGAATAATAGGATACAGTGAGAAGTTCAAATACTTCCCCAAATTACAAATTCCATTGTTTTAAAAAATACATGTATTTCAATATATATGCTGATTGCTTCCATTTATACCAGTGCTTTATCTTAGTTCTTTGAAAGGAAAGCTTTGTGCTGTTTGTTTTTTGTAGGAATCTTTTTGGTTTATGTCTAGTACTGTTATTTTTCTATCAGTTTTTAAAATTTTGTCTGTTTATTCACCTAGTAAAATTCCTCTGACATCTTTGTTTCCTTAACAAAGGTATTTTGTTTCATTCAATCAGGTGTTTTTGTCTTTTTGAGACAGGGTCTCCCTATGCAGTTCAGGCTAGCCTTGAGCTCACTTTGTACATCAGGCTGGCCTCAAACTCGCAACAGTCCTCCTGCCTCAGCCTCCCAAGTGCTGGCATTGCAGGCATGTGCCACCACACCTGGCTCAATTAGGTGTTGATGGTTGAGATTAAAGATCTCTAAAACTAAACATTCCTTCTGATCATGTAACTGAGGGTCTTTCCTGTTGCCAGGTTCTCATTGAGGTTGCCAAGTGTGACAGGCTTGCTGGCTCTGGCATGTCACAAAGCACCACTTGGAGCACACGGTCTTGCCCTCGTGCACGGGTGGCAAACCTTTCAGAGCTTTCAGTGATACAAACAACTCTGTGGCATGCGTGCCATAGGTTTGTTACCACCCCCTCATGCCTTCCTTAATCTTGGTTTAAGTACAGTGTGGAACTGTATTCCATAGCATGTATTCGTAGTTCCCTTTGATGATTCTTGTAATTTGGAAGTTTTGCCTATAGTAGCTACTTTTTCTCTCTCACATTCAGCTTTAGCACAGCATGAGAAATAAGCAGGAGGATTTATTACTGGCAAGTCCTGACGTTTTGAGGTGGTAAAAGCTGGCAAAGGAATTTTCTTGGGTCACAGTGATAAATAGAGCGAAATAGAGATAAAGGGTAAACTTTCTAATTAAGGTCATATGTTCCCCCCTTTTCATTTGGCAGCTAGAGAGAGGTATCTCTTTATGTGTTTTAGATTCATCCAATTTCTTTATTTTTTTAAGATTTTTTTTTCAGTCTTATAAATATGAACACTTACTAATTTAAGGTAGCCAGGAATATAGCTCAGTGGCACAAGCGCCTGCCTGATAAGCTCAAGTTCGATTCCCGGTACCAAAAAAAAAAAAATTTAAGGTATGCAGAACCATTTTATAAGTGGAATCTTATTAGCAACAGGATTGTTATGTCTGCAGGGATTATGTGTGTGTGTGTGAGAAACTGTGCCTAGAAATCCAGATTTTTGTGCTCTATCAATTTTTAGGATAAGTGCTGGTCTTTTTTGAAGGAGTAAGCATTTCTAGTTTTATATTCAGTTGGCTTTGTATATATGCTTATTTAATCTAAAGTTAATAGTGAATAGTGAACTTTACACTAAGAATATAGCATCAAAGGGGATATTTTATTTCAAAAAAATTAATGTATTAAAAGGTTTGAAGGATAGCGTCATGTCAAGGAGATAAGTAGGATTTAGTGTGAATAATAATTATACCCCAGTCATGTGGCTTGGAGATGCTGACTGTGTGCTAAGACACTAGCTCCCCTCTGTGAAGCAGTCTGGTAGGAGACAGACATGGAATCAGCATGTTGCCCGGACCAGGGAACCAACGCTGTGAGACCGTGCAGGTTAGGGCAGCAACACAGATGACTTTGTGCTTAATGTGTTGGGATCATGGGTGTCCTCTTGCAGGATGTGGCTATGTGGAATTCCATGAATTAGAGAAGAGAAGCAAGTTAGAGTTTTTGCAGGGTCAAATGGCATTTATCTTGCTGGGAAGTGCACTATAGCCTGGCGTGCCATGCATGTGCTGTGATGGAACTGCTTGATTCAGATGGCAAATGTGTACATCAACAGCTTTCCTTATCTAGACACCTTTTTTCGAGTTTTATTCTGTAAAACAGCAATACCTCTCCCAAGTCTGAGCTGTCCATTGACTGTTTTATCTCATAGAAAGACATCTATCGGTGGAGAAACAATGGTAATTTTAGAAGAGACCATGTCATCTTAATGTTCATAATAATCTAAGAACCAAGCACTGAGCACTTCAGATCTATCCTGCCCTTTAGGAAAGTAGATTTCAAAAGTACAGGAAAGAGCTGAGCGTGGTGGTGCATGCATGCCTGTAATCCTAATACTTGGGAGGCTGAGGCACGAGGGTTGGCTTGAGTTTGAGTCTGGCCTGGACTACATACTGAGTTCAAGGCCACCCTGAACTACAGAATGAGATGCTGTCCCAAAATAAAAAGAAAAAACAAGTTCAACAAAGGTAACAGTCCTCTGGCCATGGGTTCCTTGTGGGAATGGAGCTAAAGGGATGGGCGGACAGAATGTACATTTGGTAATATTATTTTTATTTATTTTGATACCGAGAATCAAACTCAGGACCTTGCGCTTGCCAGGCAGGTGCTTGTGCCACTGAGCTATATCCCCAGTGGTAAAATTATTTTTAAAAACCATAATTATATATGATAAGATGCTATATATGAGTATAAATTGTATAAGAGTAAATAAATACACAAATATTAATATTACTAATATTATTTTAAAAGTTGTACATGAGAAAGTAGTGTATTACCTAAAGAAATCACTGAGATGGTGCAGGGATGAAACAGTCTCACGAGCTCTGAGTTTTCGCGGTGTCTAGTTAGAAGATGAAAGGCGGGGCTTAATCAAGAAAGGCGGGCCTTTGAGGTAATTAGACCTACGTTTGAATCAGCTCTCTGCCACTACCTGATTGCTCTTTTGTTTGGGACAGATTACCAAATGATTCTGGGTCTCAGTCTCAAAGTCTGTAAATGGTAAGATCTATAGTGTTTGCCTCATTATTGTTCAAGATGAAAACGGTATAGGGGAAAAGAACTCCCAACCTGAAAGATATCTGGAATGAGTTTGTGTTCTCTAAACTTGAAGAATGAATTTTAGGAATAACGGAGGTTAAAAGCAGAATATATTTATTGAGGGAAAGAAAGCTTCTTTCTGAGAGAGGGACAGAAGGGGACCCGAGTGGGTTGCCCAGCAACCTTTTTAAAAGGACTTTTATGGAGCAAAACCCACAAGGTGAGGCAGCTGCAAGGTAGAAAACATGGGAACTCCCTAGGCATGAGGTGGGACAAAACTATGGTCAGCCAGTAAGATGACAAGCATAATTGTTCAGGTAAAATTGATTAAAGTGGGATTAAATGGGGAAGAAATCATGTAGCAAGTGAGCATGAATACAGAACTGGGGCTTTTCCTGTGGGGCCTTGGGTTAATAACTCTTCCTGGCTTTTTCAAGGTGATTGCTACCTTGAATATGAGTCCCTGAGGTCTATCCCTAGGGAACTATGTGGACAGGTCTGTTGAATCTTTTGTCTACAACTGGAGGTGTCTGTCTCCCCCACAGTTGCAAGGTATCTCATCTTCCCCACTAGCTCCTTCAAGGGCCTGCCCGTGTCTGACTACCTATGATATTTCTAGTATTTCTGTCTAACTCTTCTGCCTATAACAAAATATGTAGAGCCCTAGCACATGCTTGCTTTTTACCTTCATATTAAAGAATGATCATCTTCTGACATGACCATGTGAGGAACTCTGCTGATGTGCAGCCCAGTGAAACGGGTGGAGCTCCTTTTTTTTCTCTCACTGTGTAGTGCAGGGTGCCCTTGAAATCCCTTATAGAGCCCAGGATGGCTTTGAACTCAGGGCAGTTCTCTTGCCTCAGCCTCCAGAGTGCTGGGATTACAGGCCTACACCACCATACCAGGCCAGGTAGAACTACTTTATTTAAAGAAAAGAAAAGAAAACAAAACAAAACCCATTTGCAAGTCCGTGGAAGAGGTCCTAAGGACGAACAGGAACTGAGGAAACATAGTCAAGAAGAGCCGTGGAATTTCAGTAAGTAATGAGATAGTGTTTGGCTTTGCGCCAGTGCGGTGCTCCTACCTCCTTTTCTGCTGTGGGCTCAGTGAGGTGGAGAGAGACTCCTGTCCAGATTCCTGTCCAGATTTTTGCAGCCAAGTCTCCTTTCAGCAACTAGACAGATGGCTTTCTTCTCGGGAGGAGCAGGATGTCAGCCCTTGCCATGCTTTCCCCAGTTGCCTGTTGCTGATGGTAAGACCTGGGGAAGTGCAGGTGAGAAGTGGAGGCTCCCTTTTCTGCCCAAGTCCAATTGTGGAATTTGATTGCGGTGTATTAGAACACTAGGACCCACATTACTGTGGCTCAGATCATAAAATCGTGGTCCCTTGGCAGGAGAGGCAAGCTGAGAGGACTTCACATTGCTGTCCTTCCTTCTTCCATGGATTTCTCAGCTCCTAGAATGGGAGACTGGAACCTCTGGGGAGAAGTATGCCTTTGTCCCCACCCCTAGCTCCAGAGTCCTGACTCAGATATTGGCTGGGGAGAAAAACAGACCATAAAACCTATACCTCCTAATTTCTTCCCAAAGGAACTGTCTTCATTTTCTGCCAAGAGTGAGGAAGTTCAAGCCTGACTGTAGTCTAAGAGACATTGGAGGTTGTGGTAAAAGGCATTTGAGGGAAACTTCACAATGCTGGCAAAATTGTCAGCCTCTTAGTTTTCAGGACAGAACCAGGGAATTAGCTATCTGAAAAG